AATAAGTCAGAATGTCTTTTATACGAGGGGATCCTATTTGAAATCTCTGGGTTTGTCTTGTGAATCACATCTAGGTGTTTCCGCATCTCACAGTGCTAATATCATGCAATAGCCTTAAAAGCACTTTACAGCACCCCATTTGGAAATCACTGCTTTACAGCATCAGAACACCACACTGGAGCCATTAGCAGGCAATTTCCTTTCTTTACGTTAGATGCGGTTCCTTCTTGAGGAATGGGCAGAAGGAAGAAATTGGGCTTAAAGCTCTTCTTTCTATTCTCTCTCTTTCTTCACTACTTGAATAGGAAAACATTCCAATAGCTTTCCATTTCCACCCAAGGTGTAGTTCTGGCAAGACTATTTCTGGCCTTACTTGATGAGCATGTGGCAGGAATGGTGTTCAAAGGGACGCCATCAACCTAAACATACCGCTTCTATCTAAAAATGCCCTGGCTGCTGTCAAGACAATCGGGACTTAAGATCACCGTAACTACAATTGAAGATTTTTTTTTTTCCTATTTTTCTTTTTTGTTTCTAGTACAGGCAGCCCTCAGACTTACGACACGGTTGGTTCCTGAAAACCGTGTCTTAAGTCAAAACATTGTAACTTGGAACCAATTTTCTCGTAAGAAACAATGTTATAAATGGGGGATTGGTTCCTGAACCAAGGCCTGATACCTTATTTTCACCAAAAATACCCCAGAATTTTGTACTCGATCAGTTATAGATGAGTAATATAGCTACATTAAGGTATTTATATTGTAAATGGCAATCATATTGATTTGGAAGGACTTCTTTGAGGTGACTTTGCAGAACTTTTTGAAAGGCTCTTGGTTGGACTTTTTGAAGGGTTCTTGGCTGGAGTCTTCTTAGGAGTCTTGGCTGCAGGTTTTTCTGGAGTCTTGTCTGCTTTCTTAAAGAAAGTATCCAAGGAAGTTTGGACAGATGTTCTCTACAGAGATGAGCAACGCAGCAAACTGGTTTGCCGGCATGGCACTGCATCAGATCAAGCATTGTAAAGTTGAAACTGACTTCATAAAGTTGAAACAGAGTGTCAATTTATAAACATAAGCTTGAAACATTGTAAGTTGAGGACTGCCTGTATTTGACAGTGCTTTGCTTCCAGCCAGTCATTTCCATTCTTCCCTTCTATGGTCAATTTCCCCTTTTGTCTCTGTCCCCAGCAGAGGAGAGAACAACATATGTAAAACAGAAAATGTGATAACAAAACTGCAGATGTAGGAAAACGTAGGTCCTGAATATCCCCGTGGCTCCTTTGTTAAAAACAGACTAGTTTTCAAGTCAAATCAACTCTGACCCTTTCAAGGAGCAAAACTGGGACTCTGAGATGTGGTTCCAGTCCTGGCTCTGTACCAGGCCAGCCACATAAATGTGGACAAGTCATTTTTCAGAGGGTCCAAATCTCAACAGCTCACAAACTTCCATTAAGGGAAGGCAGCTAAAAAAAGAAAAAAAAACAAACCACAAAAAGCCCCCAAACCTCCAGCCCCTCCCCCCCCAAAAAACCAACCTGTTTTCCTACAGGCAAAATGGAGACTCACTTACTTGCTAAGGAATATAATCACACCACATTAATGTTTATAAAATACTCAAACATCCATGTTTGAGACACACTTAAGCAATGCAAGATATTACCATCATAATTATCATACCTATATACAGATCTACAGGCAAGGCTCCATAAAATAAAGGTCATAGGCTGCACAAGTTGAACCCTTCTGTCAAAAATCAAAGCCACCTTGCTGGCCTAAACCTAAGACCAACACACCTCAATCGATTACTTTGCTTTGTCATGTCATGGGCAAAGGCACCTGTAAACTTCCCAAGCAGATCACACTTAACACACTGGATGTCTGTACCACAAAAACCTCTACCCACACTAACCATTAACCTTGCCAGGGTCCCACACTCTGCTGTCAGAGGCATAAATGTATGCTAGATATCACACGCATTATTAAAAAAAACACAAGTAAATTTAAACAAGCTACACTGTGCTATTTTAAAGCTCAAGAAGCACATATTTAAGTCAGTTTCTGCACATCAGACTTTGATTTCACTGAAAACAGACAAAAAGTCAGTCTAAAGAAAGAAAATAACAGATTAATAAGTATCCTGTGTAGGAAATTTTGATCTGATGCTTTTTAACATCAGCTCTCGTCTTCAGCCCAAAAAACAGAGCACCTTTTCTCTCCTATCCATGGACCACTACTCCCAGAACAGGCAGAGCAGAGTCATCCTGGAAAGCTGAAAATATTTTCTGGCAATTCTTGCTATGTTGGATAACACTAAAAAAAAAATATGGTAGATCCAGGATGCAAGAAAGCAGCACATATGCCCATGTTATTTCTAACAGCATGTTAAAGCAGGGAACGTTTACAATGAACTTCAGTCCAACACATTTAGGAGCAGGGATGGTGTTGTTAAACGCAGTGCAGATTTACAACAGTGCCTGCCATTCCATGGAGAGTTTCTCTCTTGCAGGCAGGCTAGGTAGCACTCCCTTTAAAATTTAAGGAGCCAGGCTATGTACTGCCCTCAGCAAAGCAAAAGCTCCTATGGGGCTGGCATCTGATTTTGCCTTAAAGTAAGTTTACAAAGGATGTGGCTTTTAGAGCAGAGCAGTACTGTACATATGCTGTCATACAGATGTGCAGTGCTTATTTGTGTGAGTGGGTGTGCCTTAGACTGCATGTCTGCAAATGGCAGTGAATGTCTATGCCAACTGCAGAGGTTAAAACCACACTTCCTATCTGGCAAAGCAATTTTAATCGACATGCAGTAGCCCATTCAGAGCCTCATTTTTCAAAGGCACTGGGCAATCGCAACTCCCACTGACTTTCAACTGGTGCTGCAGGTGCTTAACACTTCTGAAAATCAGACCCAAGAGAAACCTTGCATTTGGGCATCTTAAATTTCTGCTGTAAACATAAATGAAAGGTGCCTGTTTTCTAGTCACTTTGCATGTCTGTCAGCCCTGTTTAGTTTAATGGAAGTGAAACATGCTCTTTGGGGACCACAAGAATGGAAAAATTCCAAGCCATCCAAGTTAACATTTAACTGGCAGGGATCTTTACAGGCAAAGCCAGGCAAGTGACTAAATACTGCACCCCAGTTTTCAACCCTGCACATCCAAACATCAACTTTAGGTACTGAGCACTCAGTACAGGATTCAGCTGCCAAAAACTTGGGCTTGCAGCATAACATGATATTTTCCATCTGTACCCAAGTATGGGTTCAGAAGAACAACAACACTCATTCAATCCATATTTCTAGCATGAAATTCTTGTTCCGAGCCATCCCTACTGCTGAGGTAGCATCCCTCCTTGCTCAGTACCACACCCAGTTTATTCTTGTGCTGTCTGGTACTTAAATCATGAAGGAGCTGGGAGAGGAGGGAGGTGGGAGTATTTTTCCCTTTGGGGCAGAAACAAATACCTTTCTTCATCTTCCACTTTGCTAATGTCCTTTCTGGCTTCTCTCTCTTTTTGCTGGCTAGTTCATTACTTCCAGCTAAGAGAACAAGACACTCTCTTCAAATCTAAGGCCAAAAACACTTTGTTAATTGCTCAGCAGTGTCAAGCCTTGCTATAACTTGTTCATGCTTACTCCAAAGTAGGGTCTAGGACACATAACAGGGCAGTTCCACTTCCATTTAATACAGCTAAGCAAGACAAAACTAGACAGGTGGTTAAAAACTTACTCCCCACCCCCAGACACACACACATCCCCTGTTTTTAGTGATGTCTAAGACTGATGAAGGCAACAGGTAGAAGAACAGAGGAGCAAGCTCTTTCAGATCAGAGAGGTGAATTCTAGCTGTTTCATCACTATTGCTTTTCTGAGTCATAGAAAATGCCCTCAGCCACTAGCAGAATGGCAAAACAAGAAAGGCAACTAGGACTTGGACCAAATCAAAGGTCTTGGGTCCCCAGAATGTTGGCCCTTAGAAGCTGTTTTATTTCATGTAGTCTATTTGATGCTATACACCCACCCCAATAAGGAAATACGGCCCACAGAGAAGTCAATATTAGACTGTTCATTGCTAAAATACAGTTGGCACAAACACCTACTTAAGACAGAAGTGGTCAAAATAAGTATAAAACTATTATTCTGTTTGCATTTATACAGTACCTTTAATCAGCCTCTACAACTTGCTACATAAGTGCATGCATAACACACACGCATGCACGTTTCTTTTCTGCAAAGATTTCTAAACTTTTGAGTCTTGTTCTCAGAGGCACAGAGGATCCTCTCCTTCACCACTGCTTTCTCTCATTCACTGCCTGAATCGCCACTGCCACTCTCAAGGCACTTGTTTCACAACCACTGTCCTTTTGTCTGGAAAAGACTAGATGCAATTCTCTTCCCAGCCTGTCACAGTGGGTCCTTAAATCATTCAGCAAGGTCAGTCTTGGGCAATGCCAGATATCCTCTTCCCACTCTTCACCTCCATGGCAGGATTTTATTTTATTTTACATATCAAAAAGTACATTGAGCCCAATGGTCCTCATAGCTAGCAGAGACATTAGGGCTTTGCATTTTATTAGGCCACCTCTTTCAAAGAGAATCTTACACAATGCAAGTTTTTCTGCTCCACCACAAAGAAAGAGAATCTGAATATTTCCAAAAATACTAAGACAAGTTCTTAAGAAAAGAAGAATGGGAAAATTCCTCAGTCCCAGGCATAAGAGTGGAAGCCCTGTGGCTGGCAAAGCTGGGAAGAAATCCTTCCACCATCACAGACTATAGAAATAAACTGGGAAGCAAGAGGGGAGAGAGTGGGAATTTTCTTGAAGAAAAGGCACAGTAAGAAAGCAGGCAAAGCAAGATGTTAAGCCCCCAGCCCCATTGAAAACAGAACAGCAGACAGAGCCGCAGCATTGTACAAAACCACAAGGAGGAAACAAAAACCCAAGGAGATAGGGGTCCAATGATATGCAACAGAAACAACAAAAGCATGCACAGAGCCACAACAGTACCTGAATTCCAGCAGCTCCAGAGGTCATTCAGTTTCCTTTCTTCTGTACTGGAGGGACACAAAAAAAAATAAACCGTAAAAGTTCAAAACTTCAGACAACAGCTTCCCAGCACTGGTTTAAGAAGTTCCTCTTGTTCTCCTTGTAACTTTTCCAGACAATCCATTGAAGGCTCCTAGGGCAACAAAGCAGTTAAACCCATTATTTGAGGCTGATTCAGGAGCCAGCAGCAGAAGCAAAATCTGTAAGAATCTGTTGTCAGTGATCAAGCCCTGCTCATTGCCAGCAAAAATAGCCGGGTGGAGCAACAGGAGCTCGCTCTGCTCACGCACACTCTCCCACTCTAAGCAGCACAGCCTTGACTGTCTGTGTGCAGAGGATGTGGGGGCGGACTTTAAAGAGGGCCAACTCTGTGGGCCTCTCTCTGCCAATCAAAAGCCTGCGACTCCTGGCAACCGCAGCACACAACCTAAGCTCAGTAAGTGGGGACTGCCACAGAAGGACTAATTCAATATAAACCATGCTGACGAAAGGCTTGCAAACAAGGACCTCCCTTTCTTTCCTGCCCTTACTCCCACCTACTGGGCAAGACAGCACTGCACCTTTCTCTGGGCACTTCTCATTGACTTTGAAGAAAGCTAACATGATGTCCTCTGGCCCTTATAGAGTTCATTTTAATGCATGTTATATCCCTTTTCCCTCCCCTTTGCCTGCCTTGTTTGTTTAGTTTATCAACTCTTCAGAGCCTGGAGTGCTTCTCCTCCTCTGTTCAGTCCCTAGCATGCTAAAAATATGATCTCAATTGATCTCTAGGAATTTCTGTTACACAAATCACTAATAAATTGCTCATAAATATGTTTATACATTATCTATAAAACAAAGTAGTTATTTCTGTCACATCTTCCTTTTATACCAAGGAATCTTACAAAAGCATGCAAGTAAGAGAGGGAAATACATCTTATTACAATGAATTCAATGCAGAACGTGTCTAGCTATAGCTGCAGCCAAATTTTAAAGGGTCAAAGATAAGACAGGGTCTATCCATCTCCCTATTCCCCACTACTTCTGCATCAATCACTGCAGCTATATCCTCTCTTCTAGAGAACTTGCCTCCCTCTTTCTGCTACCACTCCTCAGAAGCTTTTTTAATGTCCCCAACCAGCCAGCCACCTATGCTCAAGTTATTTCACTTTAATACAGCATGTTACAGACTCTACATGTGCTGCCAAAGGCTGAGATATAAAGTACTAAGATGTTTTTCAGAGGTAGATACGATTTGCCCAGAATGGCCAGGGCCCTTAGAAGACAGCCTACCTTCAGAGTCTCTCCTGCTCTCATTAAGGAAGTTTAATTGAGTTCAGTTACCCCATTAAATAATTACCTGTTTTAATTCCCAAATCGGAACTTTCACTGCAGTCCTGCACAGGCATGCAGTAGGCAAAGGACAGTTCTGTATAGTGACTGTTCTGAGACATTCTAGTCAATGGGGATCCCACATGTGTCCTGTGAGTGTGTGATCTGGCTTTTTTGAAAAGCCACATCCACTGGGATTAGGTCCATGCCTTATGCCCTCACACAGGAGCAAAAGGAGGCACAGGACACAGAGCAGGTATGAACCTCCCCCAATTTTTTCACAATTCAAAGCCTATGACAGCTTAGAACTTCTAAAAACCAAGGGGGGCAAAGTGTGGCATGAACACTGATAACACTTTGAGAAACTACAGTTACTGCCAGGTGTGTGACCTTTCTTCTTTAAAGTGTCTGTGTGGGTCCCACCATAGATGATGACTGGCGAGCAATGCCTCCTCAGGATGGTGGGAATGAGGAGCTATAGGTGCATCTTCTCCCAAATCTGGCATCTGATCTAACCACTGTGTCAAATATAATGCCTTGGATTAAGTTACTGGTTGCTTTGCTGATATCCAATCATGGAAAACAATAGGATGCAGTTCAACAAAGACAAGTGCAAAGTGCTGCATCTAGAGAGAAGGAATCGCCAACACACTTATAGGCTAGGGGATGACCTCAGCCACACAGTGGCAGAAAGGGATTTCGGAGTCATAGTTTACTGACTCCAAGATGAATATGAGCCATAAATGTGATAAAGTAACCAGTATAGCTAACCACACTATCATGCATTAGCAGGTGGATCATGAACAGGTCCAGGGAGGTGATGCTTCCCCTCCATGCGGCATTGGTTAGGCTGCAGTTGGAGTACTGCATCCAGTTCTAGGTGCTGCACTTCAAGAGGGCTGTGGATAACCTTAAGAGGGTTCAGAGAAGGGCCACTCGTACAGTTAGGGGGCTGCAGGTAAGGCCCTATGAGGAGAGACTGAGGGACCTGGATCTCTTCAGCCTCCTCAAGAGAAGGCTGAGAGGTGATCTTGTGGCCGTTTACAAATTCATCAGGGAGGGCAGCAAGAAATAGGAGATGCTCTATTTACCAGGCAGCCCTTGGAATAACAAGAAAACAATGGCCACAAACTGACAGAGATCAGATTTAGGTTGGACATCAGGAAGAACTTTATGGTAAGGGTTGCCAGAATCTGGAATGGGCTTCCAAGGGAGGTGGTGCTCTCCCCTAGCTTGGGGGTCTTTAAGAGGAGACAGGACAAGCGCCTGGTTGGGGTCATATGACCCCAACACTCTTTCCTGCCCAGGGCTGGGGGTCAGACTCGATGATCTATTGAGGTCCTTCTGACCCTAACAACTATGAAACTATGGCACATCAGAATGTGTCTTTTAAACTCTGGGACAGCAAGCATTGATTTTCAGTGGGAGAAGTTCAGTGACCGACTGGTAACCAAGAGATGAATTGTGGAATATGTCAATGCTATTTGCAACAAGCCATTCTGACCTTAAACACCCAGTCATAAACCAGAAATTGATGGGGCCCCTAGTCTGAACGGATGATTACATTCTACCAGTCTAATAAAGCCGAGACTAGAATGCATCTATTGAGTATAAATTTTTATCTTTTGGTGTTAACACAATTCCAAGACAATGATACAATTTAGTGGGTTGGTTAAGCTAAAAACCTCAGATTACTTTGGGGGATGTATTTTGGATGTGCTATTAGCACCACCTTGTCCTTATAGAATATCATACAGTAAGTTTAAGCTGCCATTACCTGAATCTCGCTCTCTCTTCCCACTGAAATAAAGCAATTAAGCAGATCAACTTTAGAGAGATATGGAACATGGAGAAACCCAAGAAAGGCCCATGAGTCTCAGGAGCCTTATACTGAGGTCTCAGGTACAAACAGGTCTTCCTGGAAATTGTTTTGTAACCCTGTCACAGTGCACTCAGGTGCCCTGCGCCTGAGAGCGGAGACTGCTCTGGGGAGACCCCTAGTGGCAGAAAGGGGGAGGCTCAGCTGCCAGTCACCAGGGCTGCACAGGTGCTGGCTGCCGGGGCAACTGGTAAAACCAGCTGACCAGGAAGGGGCAGGGCTTATCCCTTCTTAAGCCCAGGTAGAAGGCCAGTCCCTCTCCAGCAGCTGTGGGAGTAGGGACTCAGCTCGGACAGACAGAGGGGAGGACTCTGGCCATGAGAGCATCCCCTGGTCACTGCTGAGGTTGGTGAAGCCCTTGTTCCCTCGCTCTCTAGTAGGGAGTAGATTTTTGTTTGACCGGATGGTCTAGTTTTTATGTTGCAGCCCAGGGGCTTTATGTTTTATGTTTACTGTTTTGA